CTCTTACAGATTATTTTAAAACATTTAAAAACTACATCCCAGAAAATGTCAACAATCCCTTCAAAGTCTAGTGTCGTGATTCTTTAACAATCAATTATCTTCAACTTTGTGTCAGATTCTGTCAACAGTGAAGCTGAGAACGATAGGAAAGTTGGTGCCAACTCCAGCCTAAGGCCAACAAGTGCTACGGAAGGCGGGAGCGGAAGTGGTTTAAACCAGTGTCCACACACCTCGGGTGAAGTGACTCAGATGGATACGTCTCAGACTTTTCTTCTGAGTTCAAATGCACCAGTCAGTTTGATTATTATAAGAGTTACACAGTTTAATTCTTGTTCCATGGATTGAGAGCTAAATGTTGGGCAAGCTCTTTGTTACAGAGCACACTAATAGGGGGCCACTGGGTGGCTCAGCGGTTTGGCTCCTGCCTTCGGCCCTGGAGACCCAGGATCGAGTCCCACATCAGGCTCCCTGAATGGAGCCTGCTTCTCCCTCTGCTTGTGTCCCTGCCTCTCTCTCTCTCTCTCTGTGTGTCTCTCATGAAGAAATAAACAAAACCTTACAAAAAAAAAAAAAAAAAAAACTCATCAGTAGAGCACACTAATATTAAGTATCTTATTAATCCCATTTTTCAATCCTAGCATATTATAGATGCTTAAAGTATATTCCCTGTGTATTCAATATGCAGCTTAAAATCCCTCCTTTATCCCCCGATATCATTTATAAGCAAATACTATTGTGTGCTAATGAGCTTCTTTAATTGGAAGACCAAAGGCAGTTTTCTCATCATCCCTGGCTTAAAATGCTCCCAAACACATCTTTCATGATTAGCAGCTTTAGTTTTATCACCGTGGGTTAACTGCTCTTCTGTCTAGGAGTTTTCAGTATAGGATTGAGAGCACTGGCTTTGGAGTCAGGTGAATCTCACCTTGAATCTTAGCTCTAACATTCAATACATGAATGAATGTGGGGGTTACTCAACCTCTCTGAAATTCATTTTCGTCATTTGTATGGAACTATTAAATCATCTACTTCATAGAGCTGTTTTGCATATTTAATAAGGTAACACACGGTTTCTGGTACACAGCAAACATTGCAGGAGGTGGACTTTGGCTCTATTTTATGACCACGATATCTTATCATTACATGATACCATCATCAGAGATAGTCATGGCTCAGTGCTTAGATGGAAGCCTCCATTTCTTTGCATTTGAAAATCACTTTCTCTTTCACTATTTGCCATCCTCCAGGAGGTCAGGCGTGGCTTCTCACACGGAAGGTTTGTCTGCAGACAGTAGGAGAGAGCTAGCCCCAGTGCACAAGGAATTTTCCAGCCTCTGCTCCATCACATTTGCTAATGTCCCATTGGCTAGAGCGAGTCACATGGCCGAGCCCAGACACAAGAAGAGGGAATGGGCTCCCATCTCTTCATGAAGGAGGCCTGCAAAATCATGACCTTTCCACGCGTCCCCCTCCCCAGCACCACCAAGTATATCACAAATACTAAGCAATAAATAGATTCCCGTGATCTTGAGAAAATAACAGTCTTCCTTATTTTGATAATAAAGTTATGCTTAAACACTTAATAATTTCTAAGCCTCAGAGGTGGTTTAAATAGATGTGCTTATTTTCATTCACGTAACTGATATTCAGAGAGTCTATATGCAATGTCTGAGGGTATGTAATGTACCAGCTTGGACTAGTTGTTGAAGTCTCATGACTGAAGTAATAACTAGGGGAATGGACTTGTCTTATTAAAACTAGTCCCTTTTAAAATTTGTGACTATTTGATACCATGCCTTTGTTTTCCAGTATGACCCAGGGGTCATTAGTTTCCCGGTGGGCTTGATCTTTTCACCTTATTCTTAAGACATAAGAATTACACGTTTCCGAAGCAAAAGACACCTTTCTTTTATAACTTTGTAATCTAATTCTGGCCTCTTTTGTTGTCTCTGTCTTTTTGAAAACGTTATAACTCATATTTTTCAATAGCTGTGTTGTGAGAGGGTGAACTGCTTGCCCAATGTTAAATAAGTGCTCGTAGTTACTAGTAAGTGTGTCCCTTTCAGTGCCACTGACTCACTTGCTGCTACCACTGCCCTAGACTAGAAATTGTGACAAACAGTAGCCCAATAAAATGCTTGCCCACACACAAGGTCATCTGAGATCTAGATCGAGGCTCTACACTAGAGCTACAGAACCAGACCTACAGTGGTTCCGTAATTGTATTTGGAAACTATACAGTTTAAAGAAAAATTCAAGATACTTTCATTCCTGCTCTTCCATCCTTGATATTTATTTATTTATTGGTTGACGAGATTCATAATAATGTTTGGTTTGTATCACTCTTTAAACTTTCATATACTTCATTCAAATATCCCAAAAGACCGGGGCATATAATAAAATACTATTATAAAATCTGGATCTAATTACGGAGGAGAAAACTGAGGTTGTAGAAGATAGGTTACTTCCCTAGGACCGTGGAGCCCAAAGTGAACGTGCCCACCCTCATTTTTCTGACTCAGTGCATGTGCTTTCTTCATTTTCCAATTGCCTCAGTTTACCTTTGCAAAGTGATGGAGAGCATGCTGCCTTCATTCCGATCTCCAACACTATTTTGGATTTAATTATATATTGAATTGCACTCTTATTTAACTGTTTCATAAAGTCTCTTTTTCTTAAAAGTACTGTAAGCTTTCTAAAGACACTTTTCCCCCCTTGGATTCTCCTACATCACCCTCCATCCTGTTGAGAACCTAGGAGGCCGGCAGCAGTATTCTAGAACGAACTTGTCACTAACAATGCCGGAAGGTGACACTGGCCAGCTGCCGTGGGAAAGGGATGGGTGATTTCTTGCCTCACGAAGTTGCTCCTTAGTGGAAGCAGCCGTCGATGATCCCAGGCTGCCCACAGAAACCCTCGGGTTTGTTTTCTCCCCTTCTGTCTGGGTTTCCCTAAAGTATATCCACTCACATCCTGCATTCATCAACAATTATTTGGCCCCACATGGTAGGTTTAAAATAGCCTCATATGCACCATAGTAAGACATTTGAGGTGAGCTGCAGGGACCCTTGAACGAGTGGAAGGCCTGTGAAGGTCAGTCTCTCCCCAGGCGACAAAGGCTTTGCTAGTATCTGATAGCTGCAGGGAAGAACTGGGTGGTCAGCGGTATGCCATCCCAGCCCCTCCCTCTCGGACCCCCCTCCTCACCATGATGGCCACATGCTTCTCCTTAGCTCAGCGCCCCAATCGTACGTTCTATTTTGAGATCACCTAGTCTTGGATTTTGTTAAGCCACGTGACACGTAACATGTTTTGTTCTCCTGGGTTGTCAGATCTCCATTGTTTTTCGCTCAGACTTATTTTTGCGTGGTCAGGAAATGTCAGCATTTCACCATTCTTCTCATCTCATTCTTCCCATTTCCTTTCAAGCACCTGCTAATGCTGCTCTAGGCAGCTCGCCTTTGCAGGTGTTCATTCTTTTATTCACGCTTCTTCAAAGGCACTTTGTCTGATGCTGGGCATGTTACAGAGCAAAAGAAGGCACCATTCCTGTGTTTACAGTTGTTATGGACTGATCGAGAAGAGAGAGTTTAATCAAATGGTCAGGTGGATAAATGTGGATTACAATTGTGGTAGGTGCTTCAAAGGAAGACCCATGGGATGATCCACAAGCCTCAAGCCAAGTCAGGTAGATCAGAGGGCTTTGGTGGGGAAGGGACTCTGGAACAGAGACCTGAAGGCCGAGGAGGGCTTACAATCCACAGACAAGAGTCAAGTAAATGAGCAAATTATGACACATCTCCATACCGGGACCAACAAATATGGTGCATATGCGAAGTGTAGGGGGTGGATAAGATAGAGAGAGGGGGGTAGGTAGGGACCTGACATGGCCTGAGAGAATTAAGGGAGACACCTTGAGGGGGATCATTTAAACTTAATAGGAATAATGAGCATAAATCATGTGAAGAAGAGGAAGGGGAAAGAAGTCATCACATGGAAGACTGCAGAAGGGCCCGACAATGTAGAGACTGAAGTGAGGCTGAGCGGCTCATGGTGTAAGGGGAGAGATAGGGACACAGCATGGGCAGCCTTTTAGGTAAAGATGATGAAACAAACTACGTTATTATTATTATACATCATTGTTACTACTGCTGCATCTAAAACAACACTCCTGGGATGGATTTTTCCCACCAATCTCAGAAGTAAAGTGCTAGTTTACAGTCCAACTAATGTGTACATATTAAAATGAAATTAGGGATAGCACATGCACACTTGCCTGGTAATGTCAGGGCCCCCAAAAGGAGCCCACGTGGAGGGCTCCAAACTGAAATTCAGGATGAATGACACTGGAATATCAGGAAACTTAGTCTGTAGGAGAGTTACTTCTTTTCACATCCATGGCACTACCACATTCCCCCCTTTCTTTTTATGTTTAGTTTCCTGAAGGTGAGAGGAGTACTCCTGTTTTGTGAACTTCCTCAGATCTAGGAAACTACCCTCACTCCCTTTCCCATCTGACTTTCATCATCTTCAGTCAGTTACTTCAATAAAAGTAGGCTTCAAAGAAAATGAACCTAACAAATTTTAAATCTCTGAGTCTGTATTTTTTTTCTTCCCCCAATCTTTCCTATACCAGATATGATCAGTGGTAAGTACTCAGTGGACACAGTTCCCAGAAGCCATGAGTGAATTTTATCTCAAAGTCTATATACCTTGATCTTTTTCCAGGTCAAAGGGTGAGATTTCTTTTCTAGCAGGTTACATGCTATGCCTGTTTGCTGTACAAACAGAAGACCCTCTTGGATTGCCGATTTGTTGTCTTGTAATTTTTTTTCTTTGTGGTCAAGGGAGAAAGTCAAGTTATATAATAATTTTGCTTGTTTATCACCACAGAAGAAAAAACGTAAGAATTTATTACATAGTTGATATCGATGGTGATGAAAAACAGAATCCTACTAGAGACAATGGATTTTCATGACAATATTTTTATTCTAATACAGGATGAAGAGGAAGAGATCAAACAAGAAATTAACATGTTGAAGAAATATTCTCATCACCGAAATATTGCTACATACTATGGTGCTTTTATCAAAAAGAACCCACCAGGCATGGATGACCAACTTTGGGTATGTAGTGCTATCCACATTTGCCTCTTACATGAAGAACAACCAGGGCCAAATCTTTCTCTATCTTCATGTTAGAGTAATGAACTCTTTCTTTGAAACTCTCAGTCCCATGATTTCCATAACGGTGTGTTTTCCGGGTTCTTTCTCATTTCCCTAAACACCTCTCCATCATTTAAGTATCTTTTAAAAAATATATATATATATATATTTTATTTTTTTATTTATCTACCGAGAGAGAGAGAGAGAGAGAGATTCTGCAAGTTAGGGGAGGGGCACTGGGAGAAGGAGAGTGCGGATCTCAGGCAGACTCCTCACTGAGCATGGAGCCTGACACAGGGCTCAGTCTCATGACCCTGAGATCACAACCTGAGCCGAAACCAAGAGACAGACGTCTAACAGACTGAGACACCTAGGTGCACCTCCATCTTTTAAGTATCTTTATCTTCTATCTTCCTTCCCTTCTATCCCTACAGCAAGTTTTAAGTTTTCTGGTTTTTCCACTAGTGACTATGTTTAGTGAATTTTTATGATACTTTAGGCATCATGCTATTTGCTTTCTATGTATTATATCACTTATTCCAGCTCTCTAATGTAGACGTTATCATTTCTTCATTTCTTAGATGACAAAAAACTTAGGCTTACAAAGATGGTAAGTAGACTGCCCTAAGGTCTTTGTAGCTGGAAATGGCAAAGCAACGATCTAACCAAGCTCTTGGAGTCTTTTGCCTTGTCTATCACTAAATGTGTGGATGAACGAAACTTAATTAATTAATTAATTAATTAATTAAAAGATTTTATTTATTTATTCATGAGAGACACAGAGAGAGAGGCAGAGACACAGGCAGAGGGAGAGGCAGGCTCCTCAGCAGGAGCCCAATGCAGGACTCAATCCCGGGACTCCAGGATCACTCCCTGAGCTGAAGGCAGTTGCTCAACTGCTGAGCCACCCAGGTGTCCCAATAACTGAAATTTAAATTCCAATTCCGTGAGTGAAATGCCTAAGACAATCTCTGATACTGTATAAGTACTCAAATAGATTGCTTTCCTTTCCAGTTAGCCATGTGCTCCAGTCCTGTATCTTTGACAATCTGTCCCACTGAAAGTAAGTTCAGTACGCCTGATACTAAAATCACTACTCCTGTCCCTGCTCTGCTCTGATTGCTCCTCTTCTCACCTTCCTGATTTCTCTCCATGGAACTTTTATTTATTCTTCGTCCCTCAGGCTGATGTATAATGCTCTCTTGCTTTAATCTTCATTTGCTAACTTTACACCCACCCCACTAGTGCAGGCCCATTCATTGGAAGCCTAGGTTTTGCAGTAAACTTCTATTTGATCTGTCTCTCTTTCTTGAATCTCTGTTCATCTCATATGTTACTATTGGATTAATTAGTCTAAAAATACTCTTTTAATCACTCACCATCTTATTCATTTTTCTAGAGCTCTTAAAATGTGTCTGACACACAATTTATTTAATTAGAGCTTACTATATGCCAAATTAGATACTAAATTCTGTGGCTCCTATGACTACTGTTTCATGGATCAGAGAATCTCAGTCTACTGTCTTAATGCAAAAGACATCTGTAGTCCAGCTGAGAAGACCCAAAACATCCACAGTGAACAGAGTTGGTGACCACAAGTGAAAAAATAATGCTAGCTCAGAAAAATAGCAAGATTTTCATATCATTTGATAATTGAATGCTATGATCTTTGGAAGTGAAAAGAGCTGCTGGATATTTTTTCCCCTGTAAGTCTCATCTTTAAATAAAAATTTTAAAAAGCACTTTTGTATAAATAAACCCTCTTTGTATGATCACATTGATTTTATATATTTTATGTGATTTTTGACAGTTATAGTGAGATTTTAATCATGGCCTCTTAAATGTATGGTAGATATAAATGTGAAAATTAAAAATGTAAAAGTAGTAGGAGAAAATAGCTGTAACTATATAATGCTAAAGAAAGATATACAAGGGCATATATGCAAGGGCAGATCCACAAAACAGGAGTTTGATGGACTTGCCTATATACATTTTTTAAAGTTTCCCATTACAAAAAAAACCCATAATAACTAAAGTAAAAATGCAAATAACTGATTTAGGAAAAATATCAATCCATACATGATGAGAAACAATTTAGTAGCCTTTAGAGGTAAAGAACTTTTATAAATCAATAATAAAATATGAAATTAAGAGAAATATGGAGTTAAGAACAAGGCAGCAATTAACAAAGTAAGAAATATCAATTACCTGTAAAGATGTTCTTAAAATATAATCATGCCAACATAAATATAAAATATTTATATAAATATAAATATAAAAGAAAACAAGAATTAGATACCATTTCTTAACATGTAGATTAGCAAAGATTTTTTGTTTTTTGATAATATACCCAGAATGGACAGTCAGGCCCCCTGCTTATGGAAGTGGAGGTTGGAGGTTGGTATTCTATCTCAAGGGCGATCGGAATACAGACGGATAAACATGCTCGCTCTCTCCCCACCCCACCCTCCAACACGCAGATATACAGGAATGTATCCTAAATAAATATTTGGGTAACTACATAAAGATGTATGTAGAAGTTAACCAGGAGAGAATTACTTAAGTAAATCCATTAAAGGACACTATGAAAGGACATATCCACCAGTTAAAATGATGTAGATTTATATTTACAATGGATGAACATTATTATAATGGGGTTTTTTAAGCCTTTTAAAAAAAAGCTACAATTAGATAAAATGCATTTTCATTTTTGTCAAAGAAAGGAAGAAAAAGAAAAAATATATGTATCTATCCATCTATATCTATAAATGGTGGAGATGTCTAGAATAATATATACCAATGGTGTTGAAAATCACAAAATTGATGGAAGCCCCTACCTATATGTAGCTTACATTTCCTATCTGGGTAGTAATTTCAGTAATTTAATTTTTGAAATGTTTTTTATGTCTGCTCTTTTTTTATTTCTTCTAAGCTTTCTCTGAAGTTGAACACATCAGAGCCACTAATGTTCCTTCTTTTTTAAATTGCTTCTCATTGGGCTTTGTCTGTTCCTCATAGACCATCAACTGTGTGAGGACAAGGATTGTGTAGTTTGCACCTCAATGTCCTCGGTGCTAGGAGGGTGCTACTAGGAGGGTGCTACGCTTACGATGCTGACAAAATAGTTGGTCTGTAGAGAAGTGATTATCATTCCTATAAACTTGATTGCTAATGTTGGTACGAAGCAGATTGCTGTAGGTACTTTGAGAGCTCATTTTTCCTGTGGCCTCTAGGTTCAGCGGAAATGATGAGATGACACAAGTTGGAATATGTCTGTGTTCCTAAAGCACTTCTGTATTATCAAGAGTCTAGCTTTTTTTTTAAAAAAAAAAGATTTTATTTATTTATTTGACAGAGAGAGAGAGAGACCACAAGCAGGAAGAGTGGCAGGCAGATGGAGAGGGAGAAGCAGGCTCCTCTTGGAGCAGGGAGCCCGATGTGGGACTCAATCCCAGGACCCTGGGATCATGACCTGAGCTGAAGGCAGGTGCTTAACCAACTGACGCCACCCAGACGCCCAAAGAATCTAGCTTTTTAGCAATGACCCCATATTGCCATAAACTTCAACAGATAACAAGTGGAGAATGATAGCTATTTTAGTACTCTCTGGAGAGAGGTGTTTTGTTTGGTCAGGGCCATTGTTCCCAATTAAAAGAAGGCATTACTGTAGCATTGGAACCAGCACCTTCAGGAAACACCTCCATAGTACAAGTTGAGTCACACCCAACTATTAATATCACTTCTTTTGTGAGATGGGCCAGATTGGATTGTCGGTTTTCTTGTGAGAATGAATTGTTAAAATCTGGGTATTAGAAATCACTGGTTGAAGGAAAGAGAGGAAGATTGGTCAAGGGGACTGACTGTTTTTTTACCCTTTTCCTAATGCTGTGATTTTTTTTTTTTTTTAAGTTGGCAAGAAAATTACTTTTCCTTTATTTTGCTGGGTCCCCATGAAGTTAATTGACTTTCCCAGGGCCTCAAAGCTCATTTATGGATGAATGCAGAGCCAGAATGCAGGCATCCTGAAATGTGACAATTTAGCTTGGCCTGAAGTTCTGTAAAAGGCACTGGAAGTCTGTTTGGTTTTTGTTTTTTTTGTTTTTTTTAAATAAGCGAAACCTGCAGCCCATTTTCCAATTGGCACTAGGAGAAAGCAGCATGCCTCTTTGCATCTGCATGGAGTGAATAGAAGGTTTTGTACTCTTGGGAACCAGTTGCTGCCTGCCAGTCCTCACCCTGGCCAGTTGCTCCTCCCATGAAGACAGCTGTGGTTGCTGGGAATCGAGAGTCTGCATGTGTGTATATATCCATTTATTCATTCACCATCCATTCATCCAACAAATACATATCAAGCACTTGCTAGGCACAAGGCAGTCTTTTGAGCACTTAGGATATATCACTGAACAGAATTGATGGCAGCCCCTACCTACATGTAGCTTACATTCCTATTACAGACCACACACAGATAATAAACATAATTAGTAAGAAAACTGTAGAGGATGCTAGAGGCTGACCAGAGCCTAGTAGAGCAGGGGAAGCTTAATGGGGTTGCAGCCAGGGGAAGCCCCATCATAGATAACTCAAGGAAGAATATTCCAAGCCTGGTGTTTTCCAAGAAGAACAATGGGAGCAGTGTGACCAGAAACATGGGAGATGACGTGGGGCCACATCATGTAGGCCCTTACAGACCACTGGAAAGATGTCAGCTTTTACTCTAAGTGAGGTGAGGGTTTTGAAGATGGAGGGATGGAATCTGATCCTCATAATTAAGGGGTTCCCGCTTATTGTTGGGTTGAGATTAGACCAGATGCGGTCCGGAGCAGAAGCAGCGACACCAGTTAGGAGACTGTTTTAGCAAGCTAATCCCTTTCCTAAAGTTAACAAAGGGAGATCTGCAAGTAGTGATCCCTCCCAAACCCAGGCCCCAGGGGAGGACCCAGACCTTCACATTCCTTTTTACC